GAGAATGATGAGGAGATGTAAGAGATTTACCCTAAGATACAAGAAGGAAAAAGTATCGATTTTAGAGTTGAAAATAAAGGCACTCTATGGTTTCATCGAAGGTTATGTGTGCCAAAGAATTTAGAGCTAAGAGAACAAATTTTGATAGAAGCTCATAGCATGACTTATTATGTGCATTATGGTTATGTTAAGATGTATAAGGATCTTCGTGAGAATCATTGGTGGACTGAAATAAAGAAGGATATTATGGACTTTGTTTCACGATGCTTAACATGTTAATAAATAAAGTACGAACACCAAAGACTAGTAGAAATGTTATAGAGTGTCCACTATTAGAGTGGAAGTGGGAAAGAGTGACAATGGACTTTGTAACGGTTTACCTCAAACCCAGAAGGGTATGATTCAATTTAGGTGATTGTGGATAGATTAACTAACTCCACTAATTTTTTACTTATAAAGACTACCTATGATTATGCTTAATAAGCTCGGTTATACATTGATTGGATAGTGTCCTTATACGATATTTTGATCTCTATCATTTAAGATCGAGGTACTCGGTTTACATCTCAATTCTAGAGGAAGTTACAAGGGGCATTTGGTACGAGACTAGATTTCAATACGACATTTCATCCTCAAATATATGATCAATATAAAAGGATAATAAAAACTTTAAAGGATATGCCTAGGGCATGTGTGATGGATCTAGAAGGTAGTTGGGATCATTGATTGAGTTCTTGTATAACAACGGTTATCATTCTAGCATCGGTATGGCACTTGTATGAGGCATTGTATGATGAGAAGTATAGATCGTCAATATGTTGGGTGGAAGCCAAGGAAAAGGAAACTTTAGGGTCAAAATTTATTCACTCACTATGAAAAAAGTGAAGTTGATTCAAGAACGTCTTAGGATTACATATAACGGACAAAAGAGTTATACGAGATCCTAAGAGGAGACATATAGAATTTCAAATTAGTGACTTTGTATTTGTCCGAGTTTCTCCGATAAAAGAAGTAATTTAGTTTAGCAAAAAAGAAAAATTGAGCATGAGATATATTGAACCATTTGAGATTGTGGTCAAATTAGAGTAGTAGCTTATAAGTTGGCATTGCTATCATAATTTACTAGTATGCATCCAATGTTTCATATTTTTATGCTAAGAAAATATGTACCGACCCATCTCATGTCTTGGAACCATAATTAGTGGAATTAAATCCTAACTTGTCATATGAGGAGCAACCAGGTGATGGTAGTAGACCGTTAGGTTAAAAAATTATAGAATAAGGAGATTGTGTCCATTAAGGTTATTTGGAGAAACCATTCAATTTAAATGAAGAGGAAGTATCTTCATTTGTTCGTCTACTAAGTTATAGGTAGAATTGAATTTGAGGATAAATTTTCTTAAGAAGAGAGAATGTAATAACTCGAAAAAAAAAAAATTCGGGATGGTATAAATAGGGGCGATGCTCGCCCTCTTCTAGAATTTTCCTTCATTCTTCTTCTTCTCTCCCTCTCTCATGTATTCTCTCTTAAATTTCTTTTAAATTTCTTTCCTTGATTCCTAAGCTTAGACATTGTTAAATTAGCTTAAAAAAACTATAAATAAGAAGATTCAAGTGAGTATAGCTAGATTGGAGCTTGGAAAGCATGAAAAACGAGGAAGAAATTAGGGATTTAAGGACAAGTATCCAAAGATAAGATTTTGGATCAATTGATATTTGAATTGTAATGTTTGTGTGTAGATAATGATGATATTGAAATGCAATTACTTTGGGTTTGTTAAATGCTTGAGGAATTGATTAGAATAGGGTTAGGGCTTTGAAACATAGTTGGAGAAACATGATTTTAAGTGATTATAATTATTTGAATAATGTCTAATTGTTTTGGAAAAGTGAATTGAGAAGTTAATTTAAAGTAAAATTGAATGAATTTGAGGAATTAAGAGGTTGAAGATGATGAATAGTGACAATCTGAAAATTTAGGAAAAATGAGGAATTAAGTTATAAAAGTATAGTTAGAGATAAATAGAATGATTATTGGATAAATTAGGATAAACTTAATTATCTAATTAAGGATTGATTGATTGATTAAAGATTTGAATTGGAAATTCATTATTTCATTGAAGATTGGTGATGATGGGATTTGGTTAAGCAACGGATTAGAATTATTGGAGAGATTGTAAAATCTAGTTAAAGTTATTGATTCAAGTATTTTGACCAATTCTATTTTGTTGATCACCTTGTATTCTTGTTTCAAGAATAATTTATTGTTTTGAGTTTCTTTGATGTATGGTATTGATGGATGTTCCATCATTTTGTGATGCTAGATTCTTTGAAGTAGGTAACTTCATCTCAACCATCTTAAATTTTATTCGATTCATTATTTATGGTATGAGTGAATATTATATAGTGTATTGTGTTTTAAATTCCTTGAGTATGTTCATCGTGCATCATTGATTTAAGAATGATTTAGAAGCATTCTACTAGAACTTAGATGGGAACGGATCTCATAAATTTTGAAATGATTTCGTATCAAAATGATTTGATATAAATTGAAAAAAGGATTTAAATATGTGTTTGAATAAATATGTTATTAGAATTGATATATGTTTTTAGATTTGAATATAGATGTGTTATAATTGTTATTTTGATTATCTATATAGTTTTTGAAAATGCATGCATGGTATTTAAAATACTCATTCGAAAATATATATATGTTTGGTATTCAAAAATATTTTAAGGAACCTAGCTACTGGGGAGAGTCTTTGAGCTCAATGATATGAAACTCTAGCTAACGGAAGAGGTATATTGTTAGCTTGCGTGTTGGCCAACATACAAAAACACGATCACGGAGGGCATGACCTTTGGGTGTTCACACACAATGATACGTTATTACCCAACGGGTGTATAAAAACCTAAATATATGAGATTTCATATGAATACGATATATGTATGATAAGTGTTTTGATAATTTGATACGAAATGATTTTGAAACATTTGATTTGTGATGTACGATGTGTTTTGAAGAAATAAGCATTGTATTTTGAGATGAATTTGAAAGCATCGTCTTTAGTCCATTTTTCTCCTTTAGTTTGTTATATAATGTCTACTTATCGAGCTATTGATTGCTCACCCTCTATTATTTTAGTCTTGTAGGATATTAAGTGATTGCTCATTACTTCCTTTTGGTTGCTTGATTAGAAATTGTTGCTTGATTAGAAATTGACACTTTAGTCGTGTGACTTACTTTAATTGTAATTTCTTCGAACCTATATTTGTTTTAAATTGTAATCTTAGAGGCTCTGTGGTTATAGTTGTGGGTATTATATTAGGAATTAATTGTGAATATGGATTGAAAAATACAATGATGGCATTAAAATTATGATTTATGTGGAAGTATATAATGTGATAGATATTAAGTTGGATTATTGTGAAATGAAGTGAATGGAAATGATATTTGATTAGTATAAATTTCTAAGGCTTTCTTGGGTCAATGTGGGCCTCACGATTTTCTCAATTCTCATGTCGACCATGGCCCACTCCTAGAGTCGTGACACGTATGATGTATGTGTATAGATTGTGCAAAGAAATAGAATCGGAGGTTGCATTTAGCTCACTAGCTTCCATTCCACCACCCGGATGACCCCGTTTCAAGTATTATTTAGGTACCTATCTATTGCTAGAGAATTGATTCTTCATAGGACTTCCATAGTTGTTGTTGTCATCACCGATTTGATATGAGAAAGAAGAGCTATAGACTTATTCTTAGCGAACTTAGTTGAGAAAGGCTCAACATCATATGAAGTAAATTATATATCGTAAGAGGATCGATCGGTAAATTAGTGTAGTGCTTGCATAAGAAATTCAAATTGAACCCCTAGTACTTCGGTCCCTATTCCATCTCATAAAGGATTGGCCAAGTTGCATATAAGTTGGACTTACCAAGGGATGCGTTTATACATCTAACATTTCATGTTTCTTGGTTAAAGAAAAGTATAGGAGACTCGATTGTGGTCTCTACCACACTTTCATATTTCGACATGGAGGGCCATGTAAACCTTTCTCCTACTACATTGCTAGATAAGAAGATTAAGAAGAAAGGTAACGAGTTGTGGTTATGGGGTTAATTAAGTGGGATAGTTTGCTTGGAGAAGATTCTATGTCGGAGGTCTTGGAAGACATGGAGAAGCAATTTCCAAAATTTTGCTTTGATCTTTGAGTACAATGATCTTTTTAAGAAGAGGGCCCTCTTATGAATTGTGAGTGATAATAGGATTAGAAGGTTGATAATATAGTTATTGCTGTTAGGGTTTGTAGTGAAAAACTAATGTGAAATGCTGAGGTAGCCTTTAGTTAGAATAACTAGTAATTAGTGGAATTGAGTGGTGAGGTGGCATTATTGTTAGTTACAAAATTGGTTGAACAAATAAATAGTGAATGAAAACGTGAGAAGGACTATACAGAAAGAAAAGAAATCAAATCGGAATTTCACTCGCAATCTTATTCTTCTTCTTTGTTAAGTAAAAACCCTTAACACCCTCCAAAAGTATGTATTATTTTATTTTCAATTTTTTTTCTAAATGGACACCTCCACTCCCAGAATTCTAGTTCCGTTCCGCTCCAAAAACTGGAGGAGACAGTAGACAAGTTTTAATTGTGTTTGGATTCCTTCTTGCCTCGGCTCTGCCAATGTTGTCATGAATATGCTCCCAGGAAGAAAAAAATCAAATTGGTTTGCCTCGACAAGTTTTAATTTGTCGTCATTCTTCATGTCATCCGTACAATACCGAAGAACGTCATCACCAACTCATCACTACCCACCCACTCAAGAATTACAGTTTCTTTTTATTTCCATTTCGGAGGCAAATTCAACGAACTTGCTTGTCCTTTCCTTGCACAACCGCCCTCGCCTAACCTGATCACTCGTGACTAGAAAGTAGAGTATAAATCGTAAACCAGTCCCCAAGATTCTCAACAGTCCCACTCCCCAGACAGCACCAGCAATGGCAAAATCCTACAACTCCAAAACCCAAACCTACACATCACCAAGGCCACAAAACTATCACCTCCCAACAAACCAAAACCTCTCCCTAACCTCATTTCTCTTCCAGTCCACCCTCTCATCACCCAACTCCATCGCCCTCATCGACACCGATTCCAACCAGTCCTTAACATTTCACCAACTCAAAATCCAAGTCTCCACTCTTGCTCACTCCTTGCATTTCAAACTCAACGTTTCCAAAAACGACGTTGTCCTTATCATTTCCCCAAACTCTATTCATTTCCCTGTTTGCTTCCTTTCCATTGTCTCTCTCGGTGCTATTGCCTCCGCTTGTAACCCTGCCTACACAGTGACTGAAATCTCTAAACAAGTCAATGACTGTAAACCGAAGCTCATAATTACCGTGCCTGAAATTTTAGACAAAGTTAATCACTTCAATTTGCCACTAATCCTCTTAAAAGAATCTGCAAAAGTTGATTCCAAGATTTGGTTTTATTCAGATTTACTAAAATCTTCAAATCATGATCAAGTGTTAAATTTACCTGCGGAGGGGAGGAATGTGAACCAAAACGATGTAGCAGCGCTTCTATACTCCTCCGGCACAACGGGAGGGAGTAAGGGAGTAATGCTGACTCATAAGAATTTTATTTCCAATAGTTTGATGATAACCGATGATCAAGATCGGTATAACGAACCGAAGAACGTGTTCTTGTGTTTTTTACCGATGTTTCATATATTTGGACTTGGGGTGATTACTTATTCGCAGCTTAGGAGAGGGAATTGTGTTGTATCAATGAAAAAGTTTGAGTTTGAGAAGATGTTGAGGTGTGTAGAGAGGTTTAAGGTTACACATATATGGCTTGTGCCGGCGGTGATGATTGCTTTGGCGAAAGGAAGCGGTTTGAAGAGGTTTGATTTGTCGTCATTGAAGCAGATTGGATCGGGGGCTGCGCCATTGGGGAAGGATGTGATGGAGGAGTGTGCTAGGAATCTGCCTCATGTTGAGATCATGCAGGTACTTGAGTTACCATATGTTTGCAATTTTTTTATTGTTCTGTTTATGTATTTAAGTTTTGTTGTGTTCTGCTTTGTTTGCTAAGAAAATTTTACGAAATGCGGATGAAGGAATCCAAACGTCTGAGAATAATGTGTGCAATATGAGCTAATCTATCTGTTCTAGCTATTGATCGGTGCAATGATTTCTAGAATAATGCCCAGTACTTTTTCTGCATTAAAAATCCTTGCTTTCTCGTTATAGAAATCAACAAAATCGAAGATTTTTTTTTTCCTCCTCTCCTCTCCTGTTACTCCTCTTGATAACAGTACCAAAAAAAAAAAAAAAAAAGAGTTTTATATATATGTCTTGGTTAAATAAGAAAAACAAAACAAGAAACGAATTTTTATTTTTTTATTTTATTTTTGGAGTTTCACAATAGTCCTTTTCTATTCAATTTGTTCACGAGCAAAAATCCACCAGTGTGTTTCCAAGGATTCACTTTACTTTGGTGAATATAGGTTTTGTGAGGAAACTTTATTATGACTAGAAGTGGATGATTTATATAACAGGGATATGGGATGACGGAAACTTGTGGGATGATTTCAATGGAGAATCCAAAGGAAGGGACTCGCCTTTCTGGTTCGACTGGAAAACTTGTTCCAGGAATTGAATCCCAAATTGTAGCAGTGGACACATCGAAGCCTCTTCCTCCAAATCAACAAGGAGAAATATTGCTTCGAGGACCCAATATCATGCAAGGTAGACTTTGGATTTCTTAGTATTATTTTCTTAGTTATGAGAGAACATACCTTCATCTTATCAGTTATATGATATATCCATTACGAAATGTTTCTTCCCTGTATTTCCTGCTATTTGTTTGCCAAGTTAGACAAATTACAGTCACATTACTACTCAGAACTGAATGCCCAAGTTTGTCTTTTCTAATTGGTGTTTCATATGGTGCATCTGCCAATGGCCTTAGGGTAGGTGCATATAGATTCTAATCAATTAATATTGTAGACATTAGACACTAGAAAATTGATATAAAATATGGCTGGAATATACATGAAAGCCTGGGAGACTAAAATTCAGAAATAGGTTCTAGTCTTAGTTTCTGCTGGAAGCCATACGACAAACCTAGGTTCAAGTCTGTCCCAACACTTGCACTGTGTTCAACCACTTCTTAGAAAGCACTTTGCCTAGCCAGAATAAGAGGGAGAAAGGAGAAAGATGGAGAGTAATCCATTCAGGTTGATTGTAAAATTAGGTGTTTGAGTTCATCTTATCACTTAGGTTAAAATTTTCTGATTTGATTCAAACATTTCAGGTTATCATAACAATCCACAAGCTACAAAACTAACTATAGATGAACAAGGTTGGTTGCACACTGGAGATCTTGGATATTTTGATGAAGAAGGACAGTTATTTGTCGTGGACCGAATAAAAGAGCTCATCAAGTGCTATGGTTTTCAGGTAACTTATATTTTAATATTTGGCAGATACTTGATGAATTATGCAACCTACTACAGATTCTGAATATAAACTTCTCTTTTCTTTCTTTATCGATTGGATCGGGGGTCAAAACCTGCCACAAGCCTAAGTAGAAAACAATCATTTCAGTGAGTCCAAGAGATTCCTGATACACCATCAATATGCTATTACGAGTAATAGACAGCAACCACAGAGCTCAGAGAGCTTACACTATAATCACATATACAACAAAGAGACTAGATTAAAATGTGAACATATGCACTAGTTAGGAGACTACAGCACCTGCAGATTCCTGTGTAGCACTGTTATTTCGTTACTTCTACCATTATCAATTCAAAGGAGTAGAGGAATTAAATGAGCATTTCTTCTCGAGGAAATATTTCTTCTCAGTGTAGAATTCGTCTTGAATTTGAAGGATATTTTTGAAAATGTTGCTATATCCACATTTGACTTTCTCAGACTTTGAACCTTCTATATGTGGAAAGTACTCTCTGTTGTGTTATAGCTAATGGGCCTCTTTGTGATGTTAGTCATTATATTTACTTTGAGACACAAAAAACATCCATGCCATCTAGATGGGTGCTATTGGGCCTTCTCAACCCCAAAAGCTAGCTCAAGGAATGAAGTTTTATTTCTTCTCAAATGGTTGATTTTCACACCTGTAATCAAACACTCAGCCCCTTTCACATTTGGGATAACCCAACCCCTAGTTTGGTTTTATTTCTTCTCAAATGGTTGATTTTCACATACAAATACAAACTTCGTGTTAGCCATATGCTGACACCACTACTATTTCCTCTCATTCTCTGTTAACTGATTGATTGACATTGAAACCTACAATGCTCATAAATTTATTTTAGAACTTAAAGGTACCTTAAACAACTTATATTCTAAATGCCTTCTTAAATTTTTTGAAGCTGAGCTGTAATATCTATAAATGCTGTTTATGTTGACCAGAACTTCAAAGGTTGGAAGGAAATGCATACTGTAATTTATAGATAGATTAAATACTATCCATAGCATGTTCCCAAAAAATTGTTTCTTCTCTAAATCAACAAGCTCTTGATTCTCTATTGAATTAATTGGATACGGAAACGAGATGATATACATACTTGTCTTTTTGTAGGTGGCGCCAGCAGAACTTGAAGGATTACTGCTTTCTCATCCTGAGATATTAGAGGCTGTTGTCATTCCGTAAGTAGACAATAACGCAACTTATTTCGTAATGCTCTATTGCTTGTCTTTGACACAATGCTTGGCTATTTGGGATAATTTTCTGTCGTAGATTGCTTGATGCTAAAGCTGGTGAGGTCCCGATTGCATATGTTGTTCGCTCAACCAACAGCTCACTTACTGAGGAAGATGTTCAGAAATTTGTAGCGCAACAAGTAAGCAATGCTACAATTTGCTCCTGAAGTGAAAATAACTAAAATGCAACTTGAACCTGAATTTATCAATCTACTATAACTCCGGAATCAGCAACTGAATGTGCAAATTGAATCTATAAACTGTCCTAACCACTAGGCATGATACTTAAAACAATTTTAGCAAGTATTAAATCATCGGGAATCTGTCAACCTAAGGATCATGAAGACATTGAAGTTGAATCAAGAATTTCTTGGGGTTACTTAGTCATAATTCCTGCTGAATAAACACACCATTTTCTGGATCACTGCAAATGGTTCAAGGTGGTTAATATTTGCCAATACATGCTAGCTGCATGCTCCTGAAGGCACTTACAGTGGTTTTTCAAATTTATGTAAGCCCTAAGGTTTCTGTTGGACTATTGGCAATCTTTCTCACATGTTTTATGTTCTCTAGAAAGTAAAAGGCTATTCTCTTTGATGCTAAGTTTGGTGTTCGATTTTGTGCACTCTCTCTCACTTTGTTTCTGAGACTTGTTTCTCTTTTTTATTTATTAAATCATTGTTTAAAGACTTCTGGTCCTAGGAATGCTGTTTTTGTATCTATGACACGATGCTTGAAACATTGCTATGTATAACAGCAGACGTTCTGCCTGATTGATGATATGGGCTCCCACACATCTCTGCAAACTGATTGCTTTCTCTGCTCTCTACAGGTTGCACCCTTCAAAAGATTACGGAGAGTAACATTTACAAACAGTATCCCTAAGTCCGCTTCTGGAAAGATTTTAAGAAGGAAACTGATTGAAAATGCTCGATCCAAGATGTAAGATACCAAGATGAAACACTCGTACCAGAAAACATGGAGGCTATACAATTACCTCTCCTGTGTTCGATTCTTGCCTCTTTCCTAATTCCTACTGTACTATTGTTGTTGGGCCTTCAAATTTGGGGCCTTCTTTCCTATCTCGTCCATTTTGTGCATATAAATATGTATCATCTACCATGTATCATAAATGACCGAATGCACTATGAAAATTCATGAAGATTCAGATGAAGCTTCTGTATCAGTAATGAATTGGGATCGAATGATTGTGTTATAGTCACATATTGTCATGTCTTTTTGTTGCGCAATCATACAAAAACAAACTGGCAAATAATGAGCTTAGAGAAAAGGGACAAGGATTAGGGGGTCATTGAAATGTCAAGTTTTCTGTCAATGGTACCAAGTACCCTGCGTGCTGGTGGCATGTAGCGGAATTATGTTGTTTCAAGCATACTCAAGTAAGGTTAATTATATTGCCTAGTTAGCAAATTCTTTAACCTTGAGAGCTGAAATCTGTGAGATTCTTTAGGAACATAAATTTAATGACACTTGAATTTAAAGAGCCCTTAGTCCTCTTTACCATCCACTTAAAACTCTGTTCTTTTATTTGTTTAGAACGTACATTTTCAATTTACTACAAGAAAATATTCCCCAAAAAGTGAAAAAAAAAAAAAGAAATGTCAGTATGGGCCGGGGTGTCAGAAAAATAGTAGAACTAGGTATGAGGATTGACTTGAGAACGGTTTTTGAGTAGGGGGCTACTGGCCTTGCTTTTAGCAAGCACACCATTATGCTCTGACAAAATGCATAAACTCGGCTTCCCTGCAATCTACCAGCATTCTCAGCAGCATCAAGCCAGCAGAAGAAGGTGAAGAGTCAGAAAATTCATTCATTAGACATGGCAGAGAGGACCTATTAGAAAGCTAAAGCTTCAGTCACATTTATCAGAATTTGCTCCCTTTGCATCTTTTCCGCACTTTACCAATTGCATGCCAATCGGACCGACCTCTCTACTTTTATTTTCTTGTCCTTGCATTCCTTTTTACCTCCACCTCTCTATAAAATGATTCTTTTTTCTTTTTCTTTTTCTTTTTTTTTCCTTACTCTCTTAAGAAGCTTCGCTGTAGGCATTACATTTGAGAGTACTTTACTAGACTGTAGAAGGATGCCGTCTGAGCGTGCTTCCGCAATATCTCCAAATGTCTATCCAAGGGTTAACTTGATTTTACCTGGGGATAATAATTTGTCATGTCCTAATGGAGCCCCACCCCAATCAACACAGGATTTCCCAAGTTGATTGAGTAACGAGATGAGATCCCCCATCCTTTATTAATTTTGAACCGGGATGGGACAGAGATAGTATTTGCTCATCCTGTCACGTTTATCCCGTTTGTTCCGCTCCATCCTTGAAATTACAATTATATCATATATAAAATCTATGACTACTGACTCTTATGATTTATTTTCTTCATAAACTATCATTTTTTTTAATTACATTTTGAGAGTACTTTACTAGAGACTATAGAAGGATGCCTTCTGAGCGTGCTTCCAAAATCTTTCCAAATGTCTATCCAAGGGTTAATTTGATTTTACCTAGGGATGGCAATTTGTCCCATCCCGATGGAGCCCAACCCTAATCAATATGGGGATTCCTTGAGTTGACTAAGGAACGAAATGGGGTGCCCCGCCACGCCTCGTTTGCCCAACTTCATCCCTAAAATTATAATTATACCCTATATAGAATCTATAACTACCGACTCTTATGATTACCGACTCTTATGATCTATTTTCTACCCGAATTATCATTTTTTTTTTTGCAATAGTTTAAAATTTGATAGTAGAATAAAGCGGGACGTGGCGGAAACAAAAAATTAAACGGGACACCGAATCACCGATGCCTCATGGGAATCCCCATCCCTGTTTGGGGCGGGGATGATATGAAAAATATTACCTCATGCGGCGCACGGGGCAAGGACAAGTTCAAAATTTTCGGAGGCCATCCCCGCCCCGCCCCATTGCCATTCCTAATTTTACTCGAATGAAATATGTGAACTTTATTAATTTCTATCTAAATTTTTGTTATTTATGAATTAACAAAAAATAATATTTTATTATTTAAACTTTGATTCCTCCTAACAAAAAATATAAATAATTTATCAATTAACTCACGAAAAAAATTTCTATCATATATATATATATATATATAATCACAAAAAAATGTAATTAATATGAATTTTGATCAATTAAAAAAGTAAAAAATAAAATTTACTTAAGCTTTTTTAAAATTTGACCATTAAAATCATTATATCTCAACTTCTCTTAAGAATAAAGAAATAATTGTTTTATATATTTAGTTTATTTCAAAAAAAAAAAACAAAGTAAAAATCAACAAGCTGTACATGCTAATTTTACTTGATTTGAATTAAATTATTTTTTTTATTTTCTTCTTCAATTTATAAAACTAACACATATCTAGTTCTTATACTATCTCATCTTGTTCTCCTCATAGGCTATTTGGTGCTATCAATTTACTTCAATTGCGTAAAAAAAAAAAGTTCAAATTTTGTTCTTTTCTAGAATAAAATTAAATAAACAATATGTAACGTCCGATGATCGAGACACCTCACTTGAAGGGTCACAACCAAACCAATCGACACTAAAACTTATATCTTTTTTTCTTAAAATTAAGTTCTTCATTTAATCTTATTATCTTTAAATATTTCATTAATAATATATAACCATAAAATTTTTTCATTAACATAACAAAAGCATTATTCTAAAATTTCATCATTTATAAATACATCTCTCACCATAATTAACATTCCTAAATAATCTTGTCCCAATATTCATACTCAAATTCTATATAATTTTTTTCAAAATTCATAAGTTTAACATCCTTTCATATATTATTTAAAAAATAAATATTCATTTAAAGCATAACCTAATTGTTAGGGATACGCAAAAGCGGACACATAAGTCGCCGATCACCAAAAACAAGCATCAACATCCTCAACATTTGCACCATTACGTACACCATAAAACGGACGTAAGATACGAATATTCCAATAAGTGTAACATGCATGATTTTATATTAAAATTTTTCGTACCTAAATGTCTTCAAAATCCTTTTTCTCATTTGAACCCGCTAGAAGATACTAACATCGGTTAGCGAGGATTTAGCGTCAATAAAAAAAAAAGCATAAAAACATTAACCTCAACATTTAACAATCAAACCTCAATGTCTTATGCCTCGATAAGCAATATCAACCTTTAAACCTTAACATACATTAAAAAAAAAAAAACAAACAAACAAACAAAAAAAAAAAGACGGACCTCATTCTTTTACTTAAAACATTTTCTTTCAATCAACATGTAAAACATATATATGCACATGAATGCACCTCAAGACCATCATATTATATCAATCACATGAAAACACATAATATTTACGTTCATGATGTAGGTGAGTTACATCTACTTGATTCGCTTAAGATCACTATTTATCATAACATTTCTCTAAAAATCGATACCTCGACTTAATTCAATACCTTGAACATACATACGATATAACATAAGAAATTGAATTTTATTATTTTATCTCTAATCATTTAATTTTTACTAATTCCTATTCTTTTTTAGTAATTTCTTTTAAATTAAAAACCCTAATTAAATCATCAAATCTACTCTAATTTATTCAATTCTCCTTTAATTATATTCATATAATCTAATGTTGTTAAGTTTTAACTTAACATTTTCTTTCAATCAACATGTAAAACATATATATGCACATGAATGCACCTCAAGACCATCACATTACATCAATCACATAAAAACACATAATATTTACTTTCATGATGTAGGTGAGTTACATTTACTTGATTCACTTAAGATCACTCGTTTATCATAACATTTCTCTAAAAATCGATACCTCGACTTAATTCAATACCTTGAACATACATACGGTATAACATAAGAAATTAAATTTTATTATTTTATCTTTAATCATTTAATTTTTACTAATTCCTATTCTTTTTTAGTAATTTCTTTCAAATTAAAAACCCTAATTAAATTATCAACTCTACTCAAATTTATTCAATTCTCCTTTAATTTTATTCATATAATCTAATGTTGTTAAGTTTTAACTTAACATTTTCTTTCAATCATCATGTAAAACATATATATGCACATGAATACACCTCAAGACCATCACATTACATCAATCACATAAAAATACATAATATTTACTTTCATGATGTAGGTGAGTTACACCTACTTGATTCACTTAAGATCACTCGTTTATCGTAACATTTTTCTAAAAATCGATATCTCGACTTAATTCAATACCTTGAACGTACATACGATATAACATAAGAAATTAAATTTTATTATTTTATCTTTAATCATTTAATTTTTACTAATTCCTATTCTTTTTTAGTAATTTCTTTTAAATTAAAAACCCAAATTAAATCATCAACTCTACTCAAATTTATTCAATTCTCCTTTAATTATATTCATATAACCTAATGTTGTTAAGTTTTAACTTAACATTTTCTTTCAATCAACATGTAAAACATATATATGCACATGAATGCACCTCAAGACCATCACATTACATCAATCACATAATATTTACTTTCATGATGTAGGTGAGTTACACCTACTTGATTCACTTAAGATCACTTGTTTATGGTAACATTTCTCTAAAAATCGATATCTCAACTTAATTCAATACCTTGAACGTACATACTATATAACATAAGAAATTAAATTTTATTATTTTATCTCTAATCATTTAATTTTTACTAATTCCTATTCTTTTTTAGTAATTTCTTTCAAATTAAAAACCCTAATTAAATCATCAACTCTACTCTAATTTATTCAATTCTCCTTTAATTATATTCATATAATCTAATGTTGTTAATTTTTAACTTAACAACTTCAATTCTTTTTTAAATGTACTTAATCATCAAATATTCTCTAAAATTTTAAGATTTTAATACTAAA